ATAATAAATGTATCTCCATTTTCAGATAATACATTTATTATATCTTTAAATCGTCAAACAATTATTAACGATAAGATTAATCCAACTTTAATTCACAAATATCCATCAGATAATAGATTTAAAATCTTAAGAGAATAAAACTTGCCATTACTTCTTGAAGTTTCTCAAACTTATTACTTTTTTCTTTTTCTTGTATTTACCGACATAATTATGTTCATAAATTTTAACATACATAATATATTATAACGTAATTATATCGTAAGCTTATTTATGAAACAATTAAAATTATTAATTTCATTTATAACAAAGATCAAACGTATGTACGTACATAAATACTAAAAATTTCAAAGACCAATCTAAAATTGAATCCAATTTGAATTTGAATAACAGTATTAATAAAAATCATTGTAAAACTTTCAAAATGAAAATCATTCATGACGATAATAATCGACGATTTCTCGTTGAATCGACTGAAACTATGTAAAATTTCGAACTACCCGAGTGCTCTTGAAGTTCTCGCACATTTTTCGAAGGATTCTCTCAAAGGTTTGAAAAATAGACACGAAGAGGCCACAGGGTGCAACATACATGCATATACCCATCCATACACATAGACACATACACATACACATATACACATATATAAAGAAACGTTTCACGTGTATGATCCGTGAAACGATCGTGCACAGGTCGATCCTCTCGAACTCACCCTGCACTGGCGACGCTATTGTAGTCGTTCCTGACTTCAATGTCGATCGCAGACACGTGCGGGGAATGGTACTCCAGAGCAAGGAACTCGCCGCTTCCGCTTCCGCTCACGTTGTACTTGATGGCCTCTCTCGGCACAGACGCGAAATTGCTCAAGAAGTAACAACCAGCTCGCCCAGCTTCCCGTGCTTCCTGTCGACACACACATGATGTTAAGAGATCGAACGTATAAACCTTCTCTCCCTTTCTCTCTCTCTCTCTCTCTCTCTTTCTCTTTATCTTTATTTCTCTTTTCTCATTTTCATTTGAAAAGTTAAGACCTTGCAGAACTGTTGTAATTTTATGTTAGAGTAGTTACAACTTGAGTTTGTCTACATGTTTTTCTACTCTCTTTCTACAAAGTTTAACAATAAGAGTAGAAGTTTTTCTTCAAGAGAGAGAGAGAGAGAGAGAGAGAGAGAGAGAGAGAGAAAGAGAGTGGGTGGAGGGGGAGAAAAAGAGGAATATGGAGAGAAAGAGAGAGAGAGAGAAAGAGAGAGAGAGAGAGAGAGAGAGAGAGAGAGAGAGAGAGAGAGAGAGAAAATACAATAAAGTAAAAAAGAATAATATAAAACTAAAATATTAATTTTTCTGAGGATTAACTATGTTTATATTGTTAATAAGTATAGTATATAAATAATACGTAAATAATGTATTATTATAGTTAAATGTATCTTGATATAGATATGTGTTAATATTCTCTCTCTTTCTCTCTCTCTCTCTCTCTCTCTCTATATATATATATATATATATATATATATTAATTAAATTATACATTATTAATAATTATATATAATATTATATAGTACAATAATAATTATATTATATAATATAATTGAATACAGAGTATAAATCATTTTCCAAGTATACTTATTCTTATAAATAACAAATTTTTTTGGTAACTTATATCACATTATTCTCAAAAATAAATCACATTGTCTTTAGAATCTCTTAAACAAAGTTGTGTGTTTATTACAAAAGAATATGACTGTTAAATAATTTAGTTTAGAATGTAAAAGATAAATAGATGTGTATGTAGTATGTAATAAAATAGAAAAAAAAAGTAATGTAAAATTAAAATATACATTGAATATTTATGAAAAAAAAAAATATATATATATATATATAATATATTAATAGGTATAATGTAAAGAATATATGAATGATACTTTAATGTTTTATCTCATTTAAATAACAAAATGACGAGTTATAATTATGAGTCTCGAAAACAAATTTAAATTATACCTCTATCGATTATGACTGCATAAATGATGATATATTAATTCAAGCATTCGGTTGCTTAGTAAAATGTCAAATTACATGTATTATGTAAATTATTCTTATATTCATTATGATTAACGTAACGCCAAATATATTTATCTTTCATTTTTAATATTTCTGATCAAAAGAAACTATTCTCTTTTTCATTGATCTATTAGAGATCAAAAAGGATTATTTTATATAATAACATATAAATATGATAAAGACGATATATGTAAATAAAAAAAAAAAAGAAAAAAATGTGTATGTTCTTGTGTGTACCCTGTATGTGTATGTGTGCGTATATGTGTGTAAGTGTATGTGTGTGTGTATATGTGTGTAAGTGTATGTGTGTGTACATTTGAAAAATATAAAATATTGTCTATCGATAAACTTATCGAACATTTTTACGAGGATAAAGTAATTCAAGATAGGATTGGATTCGATCGGCATTTATCGATTCGAACCTCGACCGAATTCTTAGTTTCGTACTCGCTTCCGTTCGACGCTCAGGGAATATAAATTACTATAGCGAGGAAAGCTTACGCGTTTACTAGATTGCTATACCACGTCGTTATTATACGACGAGCGTGAATGCATACCTGTTTACGTATATGTATGTGTAATTATATGTATGCGTAAAGGTACATCCATATAAGTAGTACATAGTTATTATATGGATAAGAATAATTACATTATAGATACTTGCGTATTCATTTGCACACGATCGTTCCAAATTTAGCCGTTTGATATTCAAATGGTCAAGCCATTGGTATGCTCAAATCGAATGGAATATTACCCAACGTTTTACGTTTGATCAATATACTCGTCAAAGGACTAGTTTAATGAAAAATTTTAATATCCCAGGATGATATTTTGATTAAGGTAAGAGGTGATGTAATAATTTTGGAAAATTTTTAATACATACGCAATCTATAAAAGTTATTTAACAAAAAGAAAGAAAAAGAAAAACGATCTTTTATAGGATAATCTATAAGAATGACTTATATGTGTATTTGAAAGATCATCACTATATTCTATATGTCTAATTATTTCAATTATAATATATTATAATATATTATTACGTAGAATATTAATATTCTGATATTAATATATTTAATATCTTCACTCTAATTTAATCATACTGATATTCTCTAGATAAAGAAAAAATATTATATATATATATATATATATATATATATATATATATATATATTATGTATATATATATAAATATGTATACATAAATATGTATATATAAGAGAATATTATTATTATAAAATATTATAAATATAATTATTATATAATTCTTATTATTATTTATATTGTTCTAATAATATTTATATATAAATATTATTTTATAAATAATATTAATACAAAGTAAAAAGAGAATAGATCTAATATCGTTTAAATCGTTTAGATCAATACGTACCCTGTCATGTTTCCAATAAGATAAAGGTTGATTTTTCAAACAGGTTCCTTCAAGACGTCTACAACGATCCGGTTGTTCAAAGAATGCTTTAAATCCCACGCCAACTTTGTCGCATTCATTTCCATCCTTGCTGATTTCGCTCGCTCTTACAATCAGATATTCTTCAAATGCATCTAAAAATCGAATAAAACATTGATCTTATCGATTTTGATCATAATTTTGCGAATGAAACTACGTGAATTATTGATTGAAAGTTCATTCAAAACTTGCATACTCATGAACCTTTAGATTGGCCGATCTTGGAATCTTTTCCCGTAGAAATAGAAGATGGTATCAGCAATCGATCCTTTTTAACATCCAAAGTAGCAGGAAATTGTTTTGATACTTCTCTTGTAGCACGATAGGTTATGGCAAGAGTGTCGTCATTGTTTCTATAACGTCTAGCAAAATTATCTAATCTGAAAATTGGTTATTTTGTTATTAACAAAGTTATTTAAATATTTTAATATAATAAACTTAGAAAATATTAAAAGTAATAATAATAGAAATGGAAAGTGTACTAATAATCAATCTGTGACAACTAAATTAAAATGATTAAATTATATGAAAAATATATTTTTAACAAAATTATAATAATCATATATATATATATATATATATATATATATATATATATATATATATACATATATTAGTATATAAAATTTTAACTATTACAATATACTTTCATATAAAAAATTTGTAAATATTATTATATAAAATTTGTAACTGCATTAATATATATTGTTCTATAAAATTGCAATTGTTATTAAATATATACAATTATATTAATATAAAAATTATTACGAGATATTATTGCATAAAATAATTATATCGAATTATATTATTATTAATTAAAATTATTCTATAAAAATAAAATGGTGATGAGAGAAAATTTAAAAAAAAATTTAAAAATTTTTAAATAAAAATATCATTCGAAGTCTCACCTAATCATTGAACGAGTTAAATCCTCCCATCGAGTAGTACCATCAGGTAAACTTCGTTTTTCATATAATTGAAGGGACACAGCTTGGTCTAATATCGGTTCATCCAAGCGATAAACAGAATACCTGGGAATATATCTGATCGATAAGAAGCATTCGGATAGCTATGAAAGGAGAGCTTATCCGAAGTACATATCTTCGGACTAAACTTACCACAGATCACTGAAGCGAAGGCAGTGGGCAGATTCAGAGTATTTCGATTCGTCAATGTCCAACGACTGATCGCGATTCGAACAATCCCGTCCACCACGGACTTGTTTACCATCTGTTTTAGATTGCCTCTGTCCTACCAAAGTCGATTTTGATTCTTTATACGTTTCTCCATTCATTTTCAAGATCTTTGATTTGTCCATTCCAATATTTTCATGAATACTCAACAAATTTCTCTTTGCCAATTTCAAAACCTTCGATTCGTTTATCACCATTCCTTCATTTATTTTCGAAATAGTCGACAAATTTTTTTTTATCAATCCCAATATCTCAAATCCATTATCATCTATCTCCATATTTGTTCTTTTTATCTTCGGAACAATCAACGAATTTCTTTTTATTAATTTCAAGATCTCAGAATCATCGATTATCATTTCTCTTTTTACGTTTGAAATACTCAATAAATTTCTTTTCGTCAATTTCCATTTAGTTTTGACCTCCGGTATGTCGAACATATTTTCCTGATTCTTCATTTTCTTTCTCTTCTTTTTCTTCTTTTTTTTCTTCCTTCGTATACCAGTTAGTTTCTTTATGTCATCGTCATCATCCATCTTCTTTTTCTTACGTTTTTCTATCTTTCGTTTATGGAGATCTGGAAAATTATCTTTGTCGGTAGAATTTTCCCTTCCTATTACACTTTTCAAATTCGACGAATCTTTTTCTATCGATGCATCCGATTCAATTACATTTCTAAGAGATTTCGAATCATTTGAATCTCGTGTATCATGTTTTTTCTTCTTCGATACTAATTTAGACTCTTTGGATGCTGAAAATACAAAAAAAAAAAAAAAAAAAAAAAAGAAAAAAGAATTTATTAATTATATTTATCTCTTTATCAATTTCCTTTATACAGGATGTTCGACGTTATCTAATTTAGGAAAAGAAAATCTAAATTTGTTAAAAAAAAAATTTTTACGTTTGTATTTTTAAATGATTAATATTTTAAAACACGATTTTATTGTATCGTTATCAGCAATTTCAGATATCAAGATAAAGAAAGAATTTTTTTATATAAATTTTAACAAGAATTCTTTTCTAAATTCTAAATGTTCGAACAAACTTTATGTTTATAATTTCAAACGTTTAATGTTTTTAAACATTTGCTCTTATTATGAGTAATTTAATAAAATTTTTAAATTACTATCAATAGACCCAGTATATTTTTTTATAATCCATAAATCATTTCAACAATATTGTTACCATGATTTTTCAAAAGCGATTCCAAATTAGCTTTGCCATTGGACTTGACACGATTCTTCTTTCTTTTCATTTCTCTTTTAACAATTGACGGAGTATCCATCGAAATTTTTGATTTTATTACTTGTCTGGGAAATTTCAAATCATTTGAATTTCGACCATTAATCTTTCTCTCCTTTCTTTTATCTTTTTCCAAAAACATTTGTTTCTTGTTTAATATAAGTGCAGTATGCGTATCGGTATCGTTGGGTACTGAAAGGAATTAAAAAAAAAAAGAAAAAAAAAAGAAAAAAGGAATCTATTAATTATTTTTATACTCTTCATAAATTCATTAAATATTTCAATTATTTCTCGTAAAATATACAAGGTGTCACCAATCTATTTAATCGATGCAGATTTAATAGCTCGTTCTAAATTTTCGAATGAACTTCATATTTATTATTTTAAACGATTAATATTTTTGAAATCGTTTGTCATTAACAATTTTGCATAATGATATATTACACCCAATATATTTTATTTATAATATATATATATATATATCAATAATGTATATAACAATATTGTTACCATAGTTTTTCAATAGCAATTCAGGAAAATGTTGTGGTTGGTTTTGGCGAGGATAAAATAGAAAAGATTTGTCGTTATTCTCGTGACCTTTTAAAAGCGATCGTTTAACAGAACTTTTAGATGATCCGTAGTTCCGTTGCTGTTGTTCCTTCATATCCGAGTTGAAGGAAGTTTGATAATACGGTCCTTTAGAATTCGCCTTTATCGAGGAGAGTAATTTCGAGGTGGAATCCAGAAGAGTATTCCTCCTTGTTTTCTTTTCTTTTATAGCAGAAGATCTCAATTCGACGAGTGGAAAAGTTGAGTTTCCAAGAGTGCCATTCGCCGATGATAACAAAGCCGGTATTATTGATTTCCGTGTATCTGGACCAAGAGTGACGTCTTCATCGAGACGATTTTTTTCTTTTCTTTTCTTTTTTTTTCTTTTTTTTTTTTCATCTCTTTCCTTTTTCAATTCCGATATTTTGTTATACATGTTTTTAAAGAGTTCCTTATTTTTCTTTCTGCTTTGTTTTTTTATTTCTTTTTTCTTATTCCTTTTCTCTTTTCCATTTGTTAATATTTATCTTATATTTTTTTTTTCGACGAACTTAACAATTAACAACTTTCGAATTTGAACTTTCGAATTCGAACTTTCAAACAGATATCTACTTTATCGACGAAATGAAAAAAAAAAAAAGAAAAAAAAATATTGAATTTATTTCTTTCTTTCTTTATTTATTTAATTATGTTACAAAAGTTTCGTCAATTTTATACTTATTTAGTCATTATCATCAATAAGGAACTCTTCGTAATAATATCTACAAAAATTGCTTAATGATCGTGATGTTGAAAAAAAAAAAGAATAAAAAGAAAAAAGAAAAAAAGAGAAAAAGTTAAAACGAGAAAAATAGAAAAATGTACAAACTTTTCATTCCAAGTATTACCTTTATCCTCATCGATCTCGTCGCATTTAGTTTTAAAATTTGTTAAATTCGATTCGTAGAATGTATCATCATCTGGCACGATAATATGTTTGTAACGCATCTGAGAGGAGTCCCTGATCTGATTTTTCGAATTTGATGAGGCCATATTGCTCGACCGAAGGAATCCTTTTAACTTTTCAATAAAATTCGAAATTGCCAATGCATTTTTTTCACGTACTTTCAAAATTTCTTTTTTCAACATACTCGATGTTTGATTTACCTTCGTAATTATCGTTGTTGTAGTTGAACTAACTTCATTAACAGTTACTGGAACATTCGTAGAAATAGTCTCATTATTTTTCATTTCTTTAAGAGTAACTTTCGTTCGGAAACAATTATCTCCCCCAATGGTGGTCGTCGATGTCGTTGTTGTTGTTGTTGTTGCTGCTGTTGCTGCTGCTGTTGTTGTTGTTGTTGCTGCTGTTGTTGCTGCTGTTGATGCTGATGCTGTTGATGCTGATGCTGTTGTTGCTGTTGTTGCTGCTGTTGTTGTTGCTGTTGTTGCTGTTGTTTTCATTGTTGTCGTTATTGTCGTCGTCGTCGTCGTCGTCGTCGTCGTCGTCGTCGTCGTTTTATTCAAATTCTTTTCAATCGTTTCGGTCGATTTAGTAATCTGTTTGACGAATATATCAGGCATATTCGTTAGTAATACTTGAATTGGTGGTTGTTTGGACGATGATTCATATTCAGTTATCTTCGAAATTTTCGTAGTCTCGATCGAACATTCCTTTTGATCTTGCAATTTTTCAGTCGATTCAGGCGTAGTAGTATCAACCATTACTGTGAATATTATTGAGGTTGTCAAATCGATATCAGATGTTGTTTTACTGTCATTACTACTGGTAGTTTTCAATACGTCAGAATTAGAAATATTAAGAAATGGTAGATACAAATTCGAATCATAAGAATTACTATTTTTTAAATTATTAGAGGAATTATTTGTCAAGGACGACGACAACGATGGACAAGGTTTGTCCGGTATTATTCTAAAAAATGTGACATTGCCGTAAGTCAATTTCTCGTCGTATTTCGAATCATCTTCTTGATAATTTTCTGCCTCCTTTTTCTCCCTAGCCAAATTGATCTCTCTCGAAAGTTCAGGATTATCATCATCCGAATAATCCGAATAATAATTATCATTTTCTTCTTCGATCGATGATACAGAATTTTCATTGAAAATTGCATTTTTCGGATCAAATATAAAAAGTTTTTGATCAGGCTTACCCTGATCGTTAGGAAGTCTTTCGAGTTTATAACTGTCATCGTCAAAATTATTTCTTGATTCCAACGAAGAATATATATTGTTATTATTTCGCTCGTTAAATTTTTGATCGTTGTCGTTGTTGATTAAAAATTGATCCGTTCTATCGTTGTTCTTAGATAACACGTTAGATTCGATATTGAACGGTAAATCTTTTCGATCATTAATCTCATTCAAATTAGAATTTTGCTCATTGAAATAACTATCATTGTTCATCATATCTATATCCGATTCGACGTCAGGTACAGCAACGAAAGCAATTGATATTGGACGTCCATTAATACCACCTTCGACGTGAATATTACCATTAACAGAAATATCAATGTCTTCGTTTTTTTGATCATTAACATCGTATCCTATTTGTTTCGGATCGATCGAATCATTTTCCAAAGTTTCGAAAGAGGATCTTGATTGTTTCGAACGAGATTGATCGTTGTATCTTAAATTATTTTCTGTTTGATATATTCGATTATTATTGTCCAACGAGGATATCTGATCTTCGTACTTTTGATTTTGATTTAAAGTTAATTCGTCGTTGGAATTTTCTGAATTAAAATCAAAATTCTTTCGTATTTTTCTAACGTCGTTTGATCTTTCAGGATTATAATTCAGATAATAATCGCGTTTCGAATAAATCGGAAGATCAATGACATTTTTCTTAACAACCTTTAATTTGTCATTGTAAATTTTATTTCTATTCAATTTAGAATGTGAATTGCTACGATTCGCTATCACCCTGGCCATATGTTTGATATATTTGTCAGCATTCATAATGCTTTTATGATCATTGGAACTCTCGTATAATTCATCGTTCATAGAAATTCTTTGTTTCGACGAAGTAACAGTATTTAGATCAATCATTTCATTTAAACGATTATCACGATCCTCATTCTCCCTCCCTAGAGTGGTTTGTTGATAATGATAATCTTCGTATTCAAAACTTTGTGGTTCATCATATTCTAAGGAATGTTTCATGCCACGTAAATTATTGTTCGAACGATCGATCGATAATAATCGTCTTATAGATCGTCCACGATCGTGCGAATATTTATCATCAATATCGTCGTAATCGTCTTTGTTGTCTTTGTCGTCGTTATCAAAATTATAATCATAAAATATAATATCGTTGGTACTTCTACGATCATTCTTAATATTTTTATTCAATAATTTATTATTGTCGTATATTAAATTATTTCGACGAAGATCACGAATAATATTGTTTCGTTCATTTATAAATATTTTACTTTTATCGGCCGTTTGATAAATTAACGCCAAGTTTCTACCACCTGACGAATTTATCTTCTTTAAGGCGATCTTAGCATCGTCTAGATCGAGATAAGGGACAACATTTCTTCTTGGATTACCAACGGTCGTACTATTTAAACGAGAACGACTTATAATCAGATCAGAGATTTGCCTCGCTTTCCAGGCACTCGGTTGAACGTTTGTACGATATCTGGATTCTTGAGCTCTCTCCGTGGACTTCTCCACTCCATTTACCGGATTCAACGAGAAAGAGGATTTATTTGAAGGTATTACTTTGTTTAAGGGAAGTCTATTGTCTTTAAACTTCTCAACATTAGTATTTGAAAACTTTACTATTGGAATATTAACAATTACAATTTTTTTCCTAATATCATTTATACATTTCTTTTCGTTAATATCTTCGGAAACATTTGATTTCATCATTTTATCGTTGCTTTTGTTATTATTATTATTATTATTATTATTATTTTGAATTTCAATATTTTTTAATGTTTCATTAAGTAAATGTTTCGATTGGTCTAAAGTCTCCTCTTTCAAAACTTTCTTTATTCGATCAAATTTCTCTTCGATAGTTTTATCGATATTATTATCATGAGAATTTTCCTTCTTTAAAAATGGATTGTCCGTAGAATTGATATCTATGGCCGAATTGAAATATTTATCATCGACATGATCGAACGATTCATCTAAAAATATTTGAATCATATTTTGCGTATCGTTTTTAAAATCAGACGTATTAATAGGTATTTTTGTCAAATTTTTTTCGTCGTTCATCGACGCGATAGATTTCTTCGATAGAAAATTATTTTTCTTTATATGAAAATTATTATTCTTTCGACAAATATCTATTCGTTTATCTTTCAATTTATTTCGATAAATTTTCTTAGATCTATCAAAACGCTTTGATGATCTTTTATATCTATCAATCAATATCGTAATATTACTATGTTTTTGTGCAAATATAAATAATTTATCCTTATCCTTTATATTTCCTTCGTTGTTAGAGCTATTATATTGTTTATTAATGATCGTTGGATTATCGTCAAAGTTATAATTTATCACGTTAATATTTTTATTCGGATTAATCGATATATCCTCGTCCGTTGTCAAGAGGCTCGTTAAAAGTGCAAACACGTAGTTTTCATAGGAATTAAACGAAGAGTTCGCAGACTTGTTAACGGTTGAGTTGGATGAAAGGACCGAGAGAACATTATTAGTCTTTGATTTGTTCGATATCGACGTCGACGTCGTTGTCGTAGTCGTCGTAGTCGTTGTCGTAGTCGTTGTCATAGTCGTCGTCGTCGTCATCGCCGTCGTCGTCCTCGTCGTCGTCGTCGTCGTTTTCATTTTCGTTTTCGTCGTTTTAGCGATACTACTAATCGAAACATTCTCTGTAGTAAAGTACCCAGTGAATTTCATTTTCCTCGGAACTTCAATATCGCGCGATTGATCTTCATAAATCTTCTTGAAAGTTCGAAACGATCGTCTTGGAAACTGCTTCAATCTCGAAGAAGCAAGCAAACACGTAGACCCCCTGGAATTTGATTTCCCTTCATCTTCCTTTTTCTTTTTTCTCATTTCATCGTCATTTTTTCTTAAATCGAAACAATCCTTCGTCCCTTTACCATTTGTTCGCATATACATAGGATTTTCTATAGTCGAATGCATTGAGAATCCATTCGTTTTCATTTCGATGTTATTGTCAACGAATTCATTTCTTTTCGAATTTTTATATATATATCGTGTCAATTCTACATTTCTCGTACTACGATTCGTCCTTTTATCTTTTCTCATTTTCTTAAGAGCATCGTATGCCTTTTCCAATTCGGTCAGTTCGTCCATTAAATTTTTACGTTCGTTTTTGCCGATGTCGTCGATACGATCCTCGTAATTTTTCGAATTTAAAGTACCCGAGACTATAATACGAGATTCGTCGACGAAATTTTTCGAATTAATTGACGATCTATTATAACTCTCATTTAAATTCCTTGATTCTCTTATCGCTTGATCTTTAATGCTATCGATATACGGCTCGATTTTTCCTTTGCTTTGCATTTTTGGAGAAAATAAAATAGTTCTTATTAATGCCGATGTCGTGTCCTCGATATTCTCATTTTTAATCAGATCTGATTTTATTACTAAGTTATTCTTCGATCTATTTTTATCTTCGTTTCTTTCATAGATATCTACATTATCGACATTGATATCCGTATTATTTGCGATTATATTTTTATTATCGACATTAATATCTTTCTTACCGACGTTGATTTGTTCATTATCGATGTTGTTACCTTCATTATCGACACTCGATACATTATTACCGACATTATTCTGTTTCAATCGTCTACTGGTGTATATCAAATGACCTTCCTTCATTCTTTCCGTTTTATCGGTACGTGCAACAGCTGATAATTTGGAATCATTGAAGGATTGTTCGTATGCATTACGAAACGTCGTCGACCTGTTGCTCGATCTGTTTACACTCCTTTTGTCTTTCGTCTCTATCTTCGAAGAAAAATTTCCAACTGATTCGTTCAATTCTTTTCTCGTCTGACGCGATCCATTCGCTTTGGAATGGCACGAACAACAGAATCCCTATAATCGAGGAGATAGATTAAATTTTTCAGAATTTTATAAGGAATTAATTTAAATTTGACAATTGAAAATTTTATTATTTCGCGCTCAATATCTATCATTTTTTATTTCTTCTATATAATGGATTACTTTTATGAAAATTTTTAAATAAACAAATGATAAAATCGTTTAAATACGTTTTCCATTCTTCAGGATTTTTTTTTTTTTTTTTGTTACTTTCTAATGGCAATAAAATATTATTATTATTATTATTATTATTATTATTATTATTATTATTATTATTATTATTATTATTATTATTATTATTATTATTACTATAATTATATTGCACAGAGTGTCCTTATATATTTTTATATTATTATATAAAAAATTTATGTATCTTTATATTATTGCAATTAACATTAATCTTAATACTTTGGACACTAGAACTTTGGACATTAGAAATATAAAATTTATAATCTGATATTTTACTATTTTCAAAAGTTTAACCAATAATACCAGTATTACAATTAATTATATAATATTTAATTAATTAAATCTGATTTATGGATTCTTACCTGACTAAAAGGAACAAGATTTCCATTTTCATATATAAGACCACATGTAGGATTTTCTATACCATCGTTACATCCCGTATAATTAACATGTTGATTGTTAATAATCTGCTCCTTTGCTTCGGCATTGACAACCTTTTATTGTATAAAAAAAAAAAAAAAAAAAAAAAAACAAAAAAAAATAAGAAAGAAAGAAAAAAAATAAAGAAAAAAAGAAAATATAGATTCTCCATCGTTTGATTGTAAATTTAAAAATTACAAATTATCTTTACGATTTCATCGTAAATCCAAAAAATTTATATATTATCATTACGATCATATTCTATATTGATAAATCATAAATAATCTTTCTTTCCTTTTCCTAAATTATCGACGAAATCGTCTACGTTATTGAAATAATTTTTATTAATTCGTTAAAATCAAATAACTAATTAATTTAATATAATTGAACAAAGTGTCTTTTAATTAACAAAAACCAATTATTATTATTATTATTATTATTATTATTATTATTATTATTATTATTATTATTATTATTATTATTATTATTATTATTATTATTATTATTACTTTTATCCTTACCTTTTCAAATTTCAAGCCGTACAATTGTAATACCGATTCCTGGCGAACTTTAATAACATAAGGATTCTGCAAACGTGATTTCTGCATTGTAATCGGATCTAAAGCATGACTGACTACTATGTATTCTTCCTCTGTTCTAGTCTGACATAATTAAAAATTTTTTATCCTTTAATATGGTACGAATGAACGAACATCATCATAACATTTTCTTGTATCAAATCAATACAATGGAAATTTTAACAAGTTACGCAAAACAATTTATTTATAATGAAAAAAAAAAGATATATATATATATATTCATCAATGATAGAAATAAATAAATACCTTTCCAATGTTATTTAATTTCAACGTTATGATCAACTTTCGACGACAATTATGTATTTGTTCACGATCTGACGATGTCTCGAAATTCTCATAGAACGTTTCATTTTTATTAATATAATTCATTCCTGCACGTTCATCGAATCTAAATCGTAAATATATGGAAGACAAAAAAAAGAAAAAAGAAAAAAGAAATCAAAAAATTTTTTTTTTATTTCATTATACGAATCAAACCATCGTTATATATAATAATTATCTTACATTTCTTCGGATGGTTCAGAACAACGAACTAAAATTGCTCTGATCTCAATCGACGGTTCTCGATCAATTGGAAATCTTCGTTGATATTGAATAGTTTGATCATAAAATTCACGCTTAGATACACGAAATTGACAATCAGGATTTTCGGATGGATGTAAATATGGGAATTGATGATCATCGATCGACGATCCATATGTAGAAAATTGTAACAACGTAGTGTATGGACTTAATAAATTAACGATCACCTATATTATATAAAAATAATAAATTTGAAATGATGAATTTAATATGACGTTAATAAATATTTAAAATATATCGTATCCATTATATGTACGTTAAACATAAAATGGAATAATTCTTTTTTTTCTTTATTTCTTTTTAATATATATCTATATATATATACATAAATAATATATTTAATATATCTATTAATAAATCTTACCTGTGTCATTATCCAGATAATCCTAAACGAGCATTGAATTGGCCTAGGTGGCATTGTAAAATATCAGGTGGTACGTTTCGATCGATTATCGAATTCATTTCCAAAATGAAACGTTAACTCGACAGATCTGTCGAGATTTATTATTATCAATCAAAGAAATATTGAACATATGAGTGTTCGTTCCGTTAGAAATATCTTTGAGTTATAAGAGGTTATAACGAATTATCCAAATTTATTTTTATACTTGCAGATGTTCACTATTGTTGTTCCAAAAATATCGAGTATATATTATATATATATATATATATATATATATATATATATATATATAAATATATATATATATAGAAAAAAATGATTTTTTTCTTTCTTTCTTTTTTTTTTTTTTTTTTAACGAAGAAAATTATTTCAAGATATGAATCTTGATTACCGTTCTTTTTACTTTTTTTTTCTATTTTTCCTCACAGCAAAAAACTCGCTTTCGTCTCGGACAGTTCGTCGTGATAGATACTCTTTTGGGAATCTCGTTTCGATAATCGAAATCAATATCGTTATGGATTTTAATCGAATGTTTCTAATATTCGTACTTAGACGGTGCGTCAATTTCACAGCGCCAGATTTGAAATAACATAATTCAAACATCTTTATAACATATTATCTTTCATACATATATATATATGTATATATATGATTTTTTTTAATTGCATTTATATTCAAATAATTGTTTATATCATTGATTATTATTTTAACAAATAAATTAATTATATTATTTGTTATAACGAATAAGCTAATTATTTTATTCCTTTTTTTCTTTTTTCGTTTTTTAAATAAAAAAAAATATTGATCGATATAAGAATATTATATTAACCATATTATATTGATATTAAGTAACCTCTAATCATTCAATTAAACTTGCAGTTCAAATAATAAAATGAAATATTTTCACATTTATATTATATATGAAAAAAAAAAAAAAAAAAAATCATCGTACGTCAATGATATATTGAATGATATTTTGAGAAAAACACTAATATATAAATCATATTTATTTGCATCATGAGTTATCAGCCATTTATCTTTACAACGGTGTTCCAGTAATGCGAAAACATGCTTACGATTTGAAGGTTATGTTTGAAGTGTGGGCCGAATCCCGTGCACGAAAACGAGTTCTACGTATGTTTAAAGACGATCGAAATACTAATGTGTCTCCTATTTATATATATTATATATATATATATATATATATATATATATATATATATATATAATTTCTTTTTTTGTTCTTTTTAATTGATTTTATTTCTTTTTTTTTTTTGAAATTCATTCCTGAACTCGTCGCACGACGATCGGACCGTCGAATTTGTTTAATAAGGAATGCTTAAGAATATCACAGATCGCGATTCTTGCGTCAAAGCGCCAAAAAGTCGCAAAGACACGATTATTTCAAGATAATATACGAGCTTCGCTTCTTTTTCATTTCTAATTTGAATACTGGCAGAAAAAATTATCGAAGGAATATTCTCTCTCTCTCTCTCTTTCTCTCGCACTCTCCCTCTCTCACTCTTTCTCTTTCTCTCTCTCTCTCTCTCTCTTTCTCGAAAGATAAATTTTTATTTACCTGCCCACACGATTTAAATGAATCTTTTATTATTATATCAGCAATCGCATAATCTAATGAGCCAAGAACATAAAAGCAAGATCAATTTCACAATAGCTATAATGATTGATTGATTGATTGATTGATTATTTATGGACGTAGAGGTACACAATCTTTCAGATAATCGATTAAGTATTTTAATAATATGACGTGTAACATCTTATTATTGAATTCTATATTTTTTTTCTTTTTTTTTTTTGCTTAAGAACGTGTACGACTTATTTATTTTTGTTTTTATCTATGCACCAAGTGCTCAAGAAATATTATTGTTATGAAGCCTAATCCTGTTTTTTTCCCCCCTCTTAATATACATATATATATATATATATATATATATATGTATATTAATATATATATATATATATATATATATGTATATTAATATATATATATATATATATATATATATATATATATATATATAAAGTATGATAGTATAAATTTATATATTCTTTTGAGATAGACAGTTTTAATAAAGATTCTAATTATTCTATAGATTTTATTGCTAGATACGTGTAAATAAGCATGTATAAAAGATAATAGATAAAAAATGAATGAATTATTCATGTATTATGGAAAATACTTTTGATAGTTTCTGTATTGATGATTTTCTTTGAAAAAAAAAAAAAAATTCCACATGTTTTCTTCCAAGGATTCAAATAATTTGATGCCTTTCTATATTGTAGATTCATAGTAATCGAACGAATATTTTATCATTAGATAACTTTAATAGCTTTTTCATTTTCTTTCAAATTATTTCAAAATGATTTAATCGTTTTTTTTTCTTTTTCCTTTTCTTTTTCTTTTTTTTTTGTAAGACTGTGCACCTCTAAGTTCATTATCATGAAATATCATAAAATGTTTACAACTATCATAAAATGTTTTCTTAACTATAATAAATATATAAATCAAGAAGTAAATATTTTAATGCTTTACACAGTACGTATTATTTACACAATTGATCGTGGACTAATGAAAACGAAGACAATCGGTGCTAGAAAAGAATTAAATTACTTATAATTCCCTTATAATATAATACCTAACAGATCTATGGTTTTCAAATCTATGATTAAACATGAAATAATTATATCTGAGGATAACTTGTCGACGGCATTAATGATATACGATCACTTTTAAAATCTCTCAAGAATTCATTTGTAGCAATTGCTTTTGCGCAAACGAAAATGCTTGACTCTTTACATGTCAGTGTTTTCCAAACTATTAGAATATAATTATAATGGATTATTGATTATATCAAATTATTAATAAATATATATAAATTTTTTAATTCTAAATAAAATTTCACCGAGATTATCTGACTTTAAATTATATTTTATAAAATATAATCTTTTTAAAATAAATCTTGTTGCATATATAATATAATTTTTATATAATAATTATCATTATATTTTACGTAAAATATAATTCTTACGGAATTATAATTATAAGCTTGGAAAACATCGTTTTACGCAACTATTTTCTCAATTATACTGTATATGGCTTAGATTATTTTCTAATTGAATTTGTTGATTCCCAATTAGAATGATCATTCCTTCGTATCTACAAAATTGCAATCTGAACAAACAAATTAGCTTCTAAATTTTTTCATCTTTTCTTGCGCGTTAACAATATATACACATACACACTTTACTTTTTGTACATGCATACTTTCATCTCCTTCCTCTTTCTTTTTCTCTCTCTCTCTCTTATTCTCTCTTTTTCTTTTTCTCTTTCTCTTTTTCACGTTTTTTTATTTCATACCTCTCTTATCATCATTAAATTTTATTGCTTTCACTATTATAACCTAAAATCCTAAAGCGCCTTAATTAGAGAAATAACATCGATGGCATTTTAAAACAGCCTTTAATACGACAAAAAACGTATTGCCGTTTGTTACATACTAAATAAGCTTATGGATCCATCGTATCGATCGTTCCATCGATCTTTAAGAATTTCATCAAAGAATATTCTCTTTTATGTTTATCAGCTGAAACAATTAAAATATATATATATATATATATATAATATTTTTCAGATTATAATTCCATTTAAAGGAGTTAGATATTAAATTCATATAAGAAGAAAGCACAACATTTTAGCGGGAAATTTAAAGATAAGAATATTCGATATTGGAACACAATTAAAACACGATTATAATACGTATGATACTCGAAATTGATTTTAAATAATTAATTTTATTTTTATTATTTTATCATTATTATTATTATCATTATCATTATTATTATTATTATTATTATTATTATTATTTTTATTATTATTATTATTATTATCATCATTTTTGTCAATTAATTGTTTAATGTTACATAATGGAAACAATACTCACCCTGAATCGATGGATTTCAACGAAGGAACAATTTTTGACGATTCCCAAAAATATATATAAAAAAAAAAAGACAAACTACATTTCGTCAAAAAAAAAGCTTTTCTCCTCAAAAGCTTTTGTTTTCTTATCTTTTTTTTTGTCTTGTGATTCGTTTCTTTTCTTTTTTCTTTTTTTTTTTTTTAATTCTAATACCAAACGACGTGAGTCTCTTTCTCGAAAAGAAAAAAGGCGCGCTTCGTTGAGCCGAGTCCATACAGCTGACATAATTTCATAATTATCATGGTGTCCGACCGTTCTCATTGCCCTATTGTCACCAAGTAGTGCATTTACTCACAGGATTCATTTTAGATCCAATCGGACAGCGAAATGCTTCCGCAAATGCTTGTGAGTTCATCATTATACCATTGACCCTGAAAATAATATTATAAAATAAATTAATATTATAATAAAATAAATTAATATTAATGAAATAATAAATTTAATTAATCGAATATTTAACGAGTTATTTTTTTCCTTTTTTTTTTGTAAACTAATCTTTCTCTTGTGCTTGAATAAAAATCATATGACAATATGCGGATATTTCTTTTTTTTTTTTTTTCTTTTTTTAAATATTTATATCATAATATTAGATAAAATATTAGATCAGTATAGAATAATTTATCAGATTTAAATCTTTAATATCCTACATTTAAATAAATAAATAAAAAAATATTGTATTCGATATATTTTATTGATAACTCTGTCTGAAAAAAAAAGAAAAAAGAAAAATAGAAAGTACCTTTCAGGTTGAGGAGTATGATAATCAAGTTCAACGGAGAGGATATAGGCCTCGGCAGTCATGTTAGAACAATAAGTCTGTAAAGAAAAAAAACAGGATTCATATAAATTTCAACTTTCTAATTTTTTATTAGTATCAATCAACGAACCTGGGCGGCGCTTATGAAAAAAAGTTGGCTAGATCGAAGTCCTTCCAAGCCAGGAAGACTTCGATCCTTTCCGTTGGTTAATGAATGCCAAGTTTTATGAGATATTTGCAAGGCCCCTATATCAGCAACATTTTCATTCCTCGTTACATTCCAATCAAACTAGAAAAAAAGAAAAAGAAATTTTTTTTCTCTATTTTGATTTATGCGATTGCTAGCAAATGCAAAAGTACATAAATATTAATATATTATAAACTTAATAAATTTAATAAATATATATATGTATATATTTATTAAATATTAATAATAATTAATAATATTTTTTATTATAAATAAAAATATTATAAAAAAATATTATAAATAAAAATAATAAGTGTGTATATATATACATATATATATATATATATATATATATATATATATATATATATATAGTGTGTAACATAAATAATAATTCTTATGATTGTATAATAATATTAACTTTTTACATTTTAAAAAATTGTTCATACAATTTTTATTATTTATTATTTATTATTTTATTATTTATTTATTTTAACATAATCTACTAAATTGTATTACTAAAAATAAAAAAGAATGGACAAATTTTAAATGTAACATGTGATCCATATAATATTATATTCATATTGGAAAAAAAATTCTAGTGCCTATATTCAGTTTCCTATTTTACATAAAACAAAGAAAAATGTAAAACATCGATACCTGAACGGCAACATCGTTTCCATAAAACTGAACTTTCCGCCAAAAACTTCTTGCATAAAGCTTAGCAACACACTCGATTCTAGCCTCGAGCCGTTTCCAAGATTCTGTGGTGATCCATAACCATTGATCGACGTTTAGATCAGGATCGAGAGGCAAGCGACGACGATGGAGATCGAAGGCATGAAGTATTTCATGGGCGACTACTGATCCAAGAGTTGCGTGAACAGCATAAGCTGGACCACCATCCCAAGACCATGCCCAGGAAGTCATCATGGCCAAAGGTATTCCTTGAATAAACAAAAATCGACATTTTATAATAGATCCTTCTTTTTTTTCTTTTTTTTTTGTTTTGTTTCTTAAACCGATTAATATAGCGATAATAGCAATAAAAATTTTTAATATTTTATATCTAAATAAGTAAAAATATGAATATTTTTTATTGAACATTTTAATATCGCTTTATTAGTTAATGAAATATTATACCATCGAATTAAAATTTAGATAACATAATTATTTGAATGGATCTATCGTTGTGTTTATTTAGGTATAAAATAAAATATTTTATTAAATACATGAAGAAAATTGAATTTTTTTTTTTTTTTTTTTTTATAATAAATTCTCTCTTTTGTAGTATTTAATTTTTTGAACGACTTACCAATCGTATTCGTTGACGATTCATAATAAGCATTCACTGTATAAGGATGACGGCGTCTGTGAAAATTTTACATCATTTACTTTTTTTATTTTGGACATCTAATTTATATCTAAATATAGAATATAAAAAAAGAGAATCTCTCTTAAAGTATTAATATATTATAAATATATATATATACAGTGTAAAGTATCTATTATATTAATTATATCCAGAGCTTAGATTTAGTTCTGACAGATTTAGTTTCAGCATACAAACTAAAGCTCGATTAACAACAAAACATAAATATATATATATATATATATATATAAATTAATTATTAATAAATAAAAATTGTCTTACTTTTCAGTGACATTTCTTCGTAAAACTTTATCGTCAACGGTACGAATTTGTTTGAATCTTCGTAGTACCGTAAAGAAAAAGTTGTCAGGATCGATCACAACCTGCAGTAAGAGAGAGAGAGAGAGAGAGAGAGAGAGAGAGAGAGAGAGAGAGAGAGAGAGAGAGAGAGAGAGAGAAAAAAGGAAGGAAAAAAAAAGTGAGAGAGCAAAAAGGAAAAAAGAAAAAGTAATTAAATGCCATTCGAACGTGAAATAAAAAGGATCATTTAAAAATAACATGATCCTTACCTCGGCCATATCACGAGCCAATAATGTGTCGTTGTTAAAACCAGGCCATACGTGAAATCTTCCTTGCAACGTTCTAAGTTTAAGTAATGCCTGCGTTCTCGTTTCTTCATCAAGCCAAGATTTTACTAAAATTCGTTCTGCGACAGTTTCCTTAACTCTTTCGAATAATCCACCAACCTATCGAATCCACGAAACAAAATTTATTAACATTCTGATTAATTTATAATGATTAAGAGATAAGGACAATCACAATTTTAAGCTTTTTAAAAATACAAGTGATAATATTTTTAATGTACTTCTATTTCTTTTTTTTTTTTTTATTAGAATTAGAAATTATTTGGAACAAAAGTTATAATTTAAGTGAAGTTAAGATTTAAAGTAGAAAGAAAAAAAAAATTTAGAGGAAAAAGAAAAGTTATAGCTAAAGTAAAGTTAAAATCGATTAAATATTAGAAATTATTTATAATAAAAAAGAATTGTTAATGAGTTTAATTTGAATTATTTTAAATAATTCATTCATTTTTACTTGAAATAAATTACATTGTTTAATAAATAATCAGAGATAAGATGTTTAAAATATTTTTATACATGGATTATACCAAAGATAATGAGAGATGCATTAAGATTAGATCTAAAATTATTAAAATTAAGAAAAGTTAATTTAAAACTATAATAATTAAATTAGCCTAATATATATATATATATATATATATATATATATATATATTCTAATGCATCAAACAGTCATTTTAAAGGATTACATTCGAGTTTAATATAATCAAGTTTATATTCGACAGAAATAGCATTTGAAATTCTCCATTAGTTTTAATTAAGATTGAGAGGAGAATGAAAATATAATAGAAATCGAATAAACGATCTTACTCTATTCCCTAAGGTCTCCAAATATTCTGAACTGTATTGCTGAACATATAAAGCACCAACGAATTCTCCAAAAATATTCTTCGTCAATTTATAACAGGAATTGTCCCAATCCTTACTGGCAGTCACGTTTACGATATCGTGCAATGTATCAGCAGCGTAAAGCAGCAGCAATCCGTTATATATAATCCTTTGAAATAAAAATGAAACATAAATCAAATGTAATAGTAATTAAAAATATTAAATATAAAATCAATGTTTTCTCTATGAAAGATATCAAGAAATAGTTAATCGAATAATTATAAACAAATTGACATCACATTTTTTGTTGTTTTTTTTTTCTCTTTTTTTTTATTTTAAATTGCAACAATGTTTTTGTATCAAAAAATGATATGTCAACTTGTAACTCGAAATAAATTGACTCACCCTATAGAATTTAAAATTCAATATATTAAAATCTTATTAAAATATTAAAGATTTTTTTTTTCTTTAAATCAATGTAATTATAATAATAATAACTATTATTATTTTTTTTGTTTTATACAAGCATTTATCATTAAATGTGACTAATAATTAAAAAAAAAAAAAAGAAAAAAAAAAGAAATCGTTCGGTGAATAATATAATTTAATATAATTTTTGAAATAATTATAAACAATTATAACCATTATAAAAATTAATATATATATATAATTTTTCATTAATAAAATTATTTTATTTGTACTTTTATCGACAAATATTTGCAGCTATGATTTTGCAAATTATATTTGCAACTAAATTTTGCAAATATAAAAGTGAAAGAGGATTTATAACAGCAAGATCATGATCAATAATTTGAGAAGAAAATGAGCCGTGTGCATCTATAATCTTCATTAGGCATTAGAGGCGTGTAACATTGTCAGTGACGATATTTCATCGAAAGGGGATAATAACTTCGACGTCGCAGTAGTGCACAGCTGGTTAGGAAAGCGCGAATGAATTAGTACCATCGATTTTTCCCTTTACTGCGGCATAATTCTTGCGAATGCATATAACGTGTTTGTAGAAGAAAGTTAGTCACGTGATATGTTTGATCTCGATAGACCGATGTGTCTTGTACAGATTGAAAAAAAGAAAAAAAGAAAAAAACATTTTAATTCATTAATCATACTTAAATTTTAATTAATTTTTTTCATTCAAATTTATGTACATATATATATATATATATATATATATATACATTATATTTATATATTTATAATAAAGTAACATTATTAATTATTTTATTTTTTACAAGAATTAGAAACAAAGTTTCAATATGTTTTTTATGTATGCTATATATTATACATTAATTAATTCTTTCAGACAAATGGAAAGTTAGATTAATTAATTAATATATTAATTAATCAATTATTAATATTAACATCTATCTATTTATTATCTATCTATTTAATAACAAATAAGAAATTATATTATTCTTTATATTATTATTATTATATATATTAAAATAAATAAAATTATATATAAAATAACATTAAATTAATTATGTATAGATATATACTATATAATTTGAGAAAATTTGAGACAAGAGAAAGAGAGAGAGAAAGAGAGAGAGAGAGAGAGAGAGAGAGAGAAAATGAAACAGAGAGAGTCAGAATGTGGCATTTTGCAACAATGTTGACCTTGTTAGCATATACATACACTTAGTGGAATGCATACTCGAGTGATTATCGTATAAGCAGCTACGTTTGGCTCGCGTTCCTAAATGTCGACACTATGTGTATTGTATATATCTCTCTGACCGTGGAAAATGATCCTGGATTATTAGAAGACAGCACTATTGTTTCTAATCAAATGTATTTACTAACATTTATTACATATTTGTTAACACGTGTATCAAAAATTTTATTTCCCCGATTATCTCTTATTTTATCTTGTTCATATCTTTATCAATTTTCAATTGTTTTTTTGAATTGATCGCAAAGTTTCGTTCATTTAAAATAAAAATTTATGTAAAATTAAATATTCATCATTGTTAATTGATATATAAAAATGATCGAATTTTTATTAAAAAGAAATAAAGAAAAAATAAAAAATAAAAATGGAATGTTTGAATAAAATCACAAAAAAATTAACGTATAATGATTAATAAGTATGATATTTTATAAAGACAATCATTTAAGCATAACTTTTCTAAATTCTAATATCAATAACATTGACGAAATCATTCTGATAAATAAAAAAGTTATATGTAATATAAAAACGATGAATTGTTTATATTATAATTTTAGATATATTTTTTTTTTTGAATAATTTAAAAATTCACGAATATACAAATTATCGTAAATATTGATCGTTTATTTATAACAAAACAAATATATCAATATATTGATAATTTTATAAACATAAAATAGATCGCGAATATTGCTTTCTATTTATTTATTTATTTATTTATTTATATTTATTTTTATTTATTAAAAAACTTGGAATATTTATTTTGTCAAATTTTTCTTTACGTTAACATCTTTTCTTTTTTCACTCAATACGAGTTTCAAAGAATTTCCAGATACCGATCAAAAGAAGAAGGCATTGGCACGCGTCGACGATTATTTTCGCTTCGGTTCGCTTTCGGCCAAAGCTTTCGATAGCTCCTTGAGTTATTTCGTGAGAAAGAACGAAATTTCCAGTAGAATTTTTATTCAACGCTTTGATCGAGAGAACGTAATCTGCTTTTTAAGACATAATCGTGAAAGACGTTTTCTCTACTTTTTTTTTCCTTTCTCTTTTCTTTTCTCTTTAAAAAATTTTCTTTTCTTCAACTTTTTCAATCATAAATCTTTAATATTCTCTAAACTATTCTATGAAAAAAATTCGAGAAAATGAAACTTTTTCAAATTCTTTCATTTTTTCTTTTTTTTTTCTTTTTTTAAGTTTTGTACGATGTAATATAATAGATAATATTTAGATATGTAATGGTAAGTTAGAGAGAAAACATTTGGAATTATTTCGATGAAGAAAATTTTCAATTATTTCGAATAGTATTTGAAATTTTAAATATTCTATTAAAATGTTTAAATAATTTTTCTGATAAAATAAAAATTAATAATAATAATAATAATATGTAATAAAACTAATAATAATAATAATAATATGTAATAAAACTAATAATAATAATAATAATATGTAATAACACTAATAATAAAAATAATAATATAATTGTTTTGATTGAATAATTGTCAATACATATAACTCAATAAACAATAATTATTAAATCATTAAATAATATCTAATAAATTAGAACACTATTTGAAATTATATATACCATTTGACCTATATATAAATTCTTATAGATTTAAAAAAAATTTTTTTTAAATAATTCTCGATATATGATTGAAAATACAATAGTGATCGATTTGTTTGCAAATTTGTAAGAAATAGTCTTAAATGTCGATCACTGCATAATGATTACAAACAAATATCAATAATTCTATATATTTTTCCTAAACAATATAGATATATAGACATTCACAAGGATAAGAAAAAAATGCATTGCATGAAAACCTTTAATTATTTTCTTTTGAAATCTCTGAGACAATTTATGCAAATGGTACAAAAAGAAGGAGAGAAAAATTTGCAATCAATTATTCTTATTCTCTCTCTCTCTCTCTCTCTCTCTCTCTCTCTCTCTCTCTCTCTCTCTCTCTCAAGATTTTTCTACTTTTCTACCAACGATGTGTATTCAATAATACGCCACCTCTTATTCTCGTTTTTCTTTCTTTCTTTCTTTTTATTTACTTATTATTTTTCTTTTTTTTTCATGAAACGGGGCTAACGAAGGAGAATATCGTGCAATTAAATTAGTACCAATAAGCACAATTGCGCTTAGTATATTGTCAATATTGTATAATGCATTTCATTTTGCATTTTTTCAATCGCATCGTTAAAGCAAATGTACATACAGTCAGATCTCGAACAATCGAATTACTAGAGGATTATTATACAGAATGTCCTTAATAATAAGGATTTTAATATTATTATTATTATTATTATTATTATTATTATTATTATTATTATTATTATTATTATTATTATTATTATCGTCACAATGATTAACTCATAAATACGTATAATTGTGGAATTAAAATATAACAATGTTGAAAATAATTGTTAATCCATAACGTAACATGTATGCGTAATAATTTGGATCAATGTAATGTTTCCATGATCATTTTACTCCATTAGTATTTTTTCTTTTATATTTAAAAATTTTGTAAAAGAAAAATCGATCGTTCGTTGGCAAAAAGTTTACAAAAATTTAAATATTATAATTACAACGAGACATTATTTCAAAATTGATGTATCTGATATGATTACTTTGATTTCTTTCTTATTGAAAAAAAAAAAAAAAAAAATTAAATAAAATACATTTCATCCAAAATTTCATAAAATTATAAACGATCATAAAACATCGGAAATTAAAAAGGAGATATTTCTTTTTTTTTTGGTATCTTTGATTGATCGATTTGGTGGATAATTTAAACGAGAAAAAAAAAAGAAAGAAGAAAAGAAAAAAAAACGAAAAAAATCTTTATCAATCAATTTCTTTAGCAATAATATATTCTCTAGATTAAAAAAAGAAGAAAAGTACGAGATCGATTATTCGACATTACGAAGCCTTGACAAACTTCTTCCCCATAGTTAATTAATCGTTTAACCGCAAAATTCCCCAGTGGCTTTCGCGCTACACTGATCTTGTCTTCCTGTCGCGAGCAGAAGGTAAATTAAACATCAGATGAAAGTGGAGACAATTTATCTTCCTATCGTATGAGATTAAAGAATTAATTACCATGCGTGGTGTACTAAAATTCAACCAAGAGATAAAGATCACTATTTTATTTTATTTTTATCTAATAAAATTATGTTTATGTCAAATGTATTTTCTCATTAATAAAATTCATATTAATTCTCTTAAATGATTGCGTTTATTATGATTACAAAAGAAATTAAAAGAAAAAAAAAGAAAAAAAAAAAAGAAAAAGAAAAAAAAATTTTTAATATTCAATATATTCTTCCAATTCTGTTCATCAAGAATTAAATGAAAATTAAAATTTTGTACGAATAATTTTTCCATCAAATCTGATCCATCCGAAATAATAGAAAAAGATATAAATGTATAATTTATTATATAATTTCAATTCAACTAGAATGTAGATAAATTAAAAAATAAATTATTTTTATCTTCCATACTTTTAATGAAACAGAAAATGTAATTACATTTGCAAATAAAAAAAAAAACAAAAAAAAATTAATTAATTAATTCCTTCTATTAAATCCATTATATGCATATATATATATATATATATATACATATATATATTTATTTATTTATATATAGTGAACATGGATATACGATTAATCTCACTTCGGTGGTTCGAATTTAATATCGAATGCATTAAAGAATTTAATGTTGCGGAAGAATAAAAGAAAATTCGATTCTTTTGAATAGTTGAAAAAAGATTTTGCAAGAAGGTTCGGACGTGCTTCTTGTACGATTCACACCATAAATTAGCTTTCAACGTGGCATGGATTGTACAAAAGCATCGTAAGGGAAACGGTAATCCGGAGAAATCCCGATATATTAGTGATTTCTCGAGAAAATCCATTCAGGCGTTTCTTTATCGAACGAACCATTCGTTTCGTTTCGTTTCTTTGAAAGTTGTTGAAATCAATTTTCTTCGTATCTTATCTTTTTTTTCTTTTTTTTCTTTTCATTAAAATAGAAATTTAATGATATATATATATATATATATATATATATATATATATATATATATGCAATATAATTATAATTGATAGTAGATCTGTAATCTATAATAATTTATATCAACATGATTTTTCTTTTTTTCTTTTTTTTAATGACTTTAAAATTTCTTTGTTTATTATTATGATAACATAATTATTGTTTAAATTAGAAAATAGAAGAAATTAAGTATAATGATATAATAATAATTATGTTATTACGTATATAATAAATTTATTGAGATAAATGTAATAACATAATAATTACGTATTATTATACTATAAATATATTACTATCATTATTTTATTATCAGATTTAATCTTTAAAAATGCTTCATATAGTTTATACAGTATATATATATATATATATATATATATATTTATATATATATATTATTATATATATATATATATATATATATATATATATATATATAAAATCCATGTATAACTGTTAGTTTTAAGAAATATTTAATTGTATAATTAAAAATTGTTTTGAATTTGTACAAATGGGACACCCTGTATACTTACGACTTCGATCCAAGAAAACTTGGTCGTTTTATAGTCTGCCTTTAAAACGGAAATAAAGATACGAGTTATAGTTGCACAATTATGAACTACTCCATATACATACGTATATGTATGTATATATATACTTACATATTACGTATGTACATACATTTTGGAACTCAGTATATGAAACTTCACGAAACTTTGGCGGTCAAAACGATCATAGAACGAATAATAATTTAACGTATTACTCTCATCGGCTACGATAGATTATATGAAAAGTTTTTTGATTGTATGCTAAGTGAGAATTTTCGTCATGCATTATCAAGGACGTTCAATTTTACTTGTTATTATTTCTCATTATCACGATATATAGAATACGTTGTTTTGCATAATTCCTAACGAAGATCGATACAGCATCGTCCTGAATATTTTCCAGAATATTTTCGATAATTCATGGTATCATATTAATTAATCGTTATCTAATCAACTAAAAATATTAATAATAAAATAATGAACACTTAATCATTTGTAAATATTAAAAAATAATACTGTCAATATAATTAATCATTTTTTTTTCAATCAATCAACAAAATTTCTTCATAAATCTATTGCTTTATTTTGTTCCTGCTGTTATAAAAATATGTTTTTAATCCTTATCAAAAATTAAATTATATAAATTATCTCTGTAAATAAAATATAATGATATATGAAAATGAATAATGTGATATATGTATATAGATATTTATTATGTTAATGAAATATTACGTAAACTTTTCGAAGATTAAATACTTGAAGTATTTTTATTATCGTTATTGTAAATTGTATATTTATATATGTATACTAAATAATAATAATAATATATAAATATATATATTCGTTTCTGAAATTAATTCAAATATATATATATATATATTGATTTTATATTTATTACTTAAAAAGAAAGTTTGATTTAAAATTAATGAATTAATTTTTAATTATATATATATATATATATACTCACCGTCTCGAAAATCTGTTGAGTAATTTTCCAAGGCTACGAAAATAACGGGGAGCAGTGACGTAAACGTAGATCATTTGATCGTCCGTGTTAAATCGTCGATCACGATCCAGCGTTTTATTGCGATTGAATAAATCGGCAGTGGCAGCGCCTAACGTGGCATTCAACAGCGTCCCCCACCTTATCTAACCGAGGATCGGCAAATCATCAAATTTATCGTTTTTATTGTAAAATTATATCAATCATATAGTACATAAACGTGTGCGTTAAAAAAGAGATCATGTAATAAAAATAGATCGCGTTAAAATAAATCGTATTAAAATAAATTACATCCAAAATAAATCATATGAAATTGTATCAGTCGGATTTCAATAAGTTTAAAAGTATATGTGCTAAAAAGAAAAAAATAATTAAAAAAGAAAAATTAATAAATAAATAAAAGTAAAAAAATACTCTATACTCACATAACCAAAGCTTTCCTGAAGATAAGTCATATTGAAAGGAACATAAACTCTTTGATCGACATCCACCCAATTGTATAGATCCTTGTGCTTCGGATAAATCTAAATTAAAATTGAAAGAATATCAAATAAAGATTAATAAGATTTCTATATACTGCTAAATACATTAAAAAAAAAAAAAAATATATATATATATATACATATAAGAATTTATATATTATTAAATATATAATCTATTTAATATATACCTATATTCTTTCTTATTAAATATATATCTTATTTTATTCTGAAATAAATTTATGAACTTGTATAAATTATATTAAATGCATATACATATAGTAAACATAAGTAAACATAAGTAAACATTTTATTTATATTCATTGTATGCAATCGCGTATTGTAAAAAAAGAATAATAGAAATTAAAAAAATAGAATTAAAATTGTAAAATTCGAAATAATCACCCAGTATATTGATACTAACCTTACTGAGTGACAAGCAAAATTGCAACAACAAATCCTTCTCAGACGAACGTTCTTTGGGACTCATCGTCTTTGGTAGCATTCCTTCGACGATCTTCTGAAGTCTGCGAGATCTTCGTTCCTCCCTCTTGCTCTGTGAAGCAAAAATGATGACTTTCTTAGTAGATCTCACGGGAATAAAAAGAGAGAGGGAGTGAGAGAGGGGGAATTCCTGGTGAAGAAAATCTTGAAAATCTCTTTTCAAATCCCAAATGGTGATCGAAAGTTCAGGATAACTCTTGCTCGATGGTTAACTTCTCTAAAGTATATCGAAAATCGATATATTTGTGCAATATACACACGCGCGCATACACGCACACACACACAGAGCAATTTAAAAAAATATTTATTGAGCAAACTGAACAAGTTTAATTTATCCTGTTCTTTAAATACGTCTTTTTAAAATTATTCATTTAAATAATTATAGAAACAAAAGTACTTGTAAGTCGGACATATACATTGAGCCAAAAAAAAAAAGAGAAAAAAAAAGAAGTATCGAACAAAACTCTAAACAAATGTTTTTTCTTCTCCCTTTTTTCTTTTAAATATATTATTAATTAGAAAATTATTGAAAATTATTATAATTGTTAATTTAAATAATTATAGTAACAAAACTGTATCCTTATACGATATATCCCTATATGATACGTCGTAGAAATAATTATTGAATGAATTGAATGAAAAATTCCCTTTTTTTTTTAAATGAAATTCATTAAGATTATTAATTTCAATGGTAATAATCAAACGAAATATACATATATATATATATATATTATTCTTCATTTTCCTTTTTTTTCTTTTTTTTTTTTTATAATAACAATAACGTCGACGAGAACGAATTACCATTATCGTTAACAATGAATTCTTATTGAAAACATCATTATCGCAATTTGCACTTAATGGTTACACAGAAACATAATTGAATTTTCCATAGTATTCGCTGGAATTTTCTTTTGCTTTTTTCTGGTACTCTGCAAGACAGTTCCTAGCTCGTTCAGCATTTTGTAAATGTACATCATGACTTTCTCTAAGATGTAATTTCTCTTCCTCATTATTGCATGCGTCGATTTTTTCATTCAGTAAATCGCATTTTCGGCATATGTCTTTTCGAGGAGCATGGAAATTTAAGTTAACTTCAGTATTAAATATTTTCCTGTAGATCCATTCCTTAACAAAGGATTGGTTATTTTCCTCACATTTCTCTACATATAGGCTATACATTTTACGAATATCTAGGTCAAAACTCAAATATTTTCGACCAGGAGTGTGACGAGCTCTGGTGTAGTGGCTACCATATGCTGGGAAACTTAAAATATGTTCTCGTACGGCTTTTATCTTAATTTCATCTGTTTTTCGTGAAAATCCAGACATCTTAAAGCGAAATGAATTGGAGTTTTCGTTATCATTTATTTTACCAGCTTACTATGTAGTTCAGAAACGTGTCGAAGAGGGCCACGCGCCATTTTCAAGTTATGTTTATATGTAATTTCTTTAAATTTTTGACTTAGACCACTTTCAAAAATAACGCTAAATGAATTCCGTATAACGTTGAAATTACATCCACTAACTAAAGGTTCATTTTTGACGATATCGTAAAAATTACATTAACTACATATAGTTTAAGATAATGTGGATGTGAAATAAGTGATAAACTCATCTTTTTGAAATTATGACTTAAACCACTTTAATAATTATAGGCATATTTTTGCTAGGCGCGTAATTGCTTCCATAGTCTATATCTATAGGTTTCGCTGGACGCATATGAGCGCTCATAGTATTCAAAGGGTTAATGATATCATCACAACACGGTTATCTAATCGCGGTGATTTCCATAGTAGTAGAAAATTGTACATATAGTGAAAGTTATAGACTACTATGTATCCATTGAGAATATGACTATTGATTATAAATGACTATACTGACTAAAAATGACTATACTGACTATAAAGACTAAAAATGACTGTAAATGACTATAAGGACTATACTGACTATAAATGACTATAAATGACTATACTGACTATAAATGACTATACCGACTATAAATGACTATAAGGACTATACTGACTATAAGGACTATACTGACTATAAATGACTATAAATGACTATACTGATTATAAATGACTATACCGACTATAAATGACTATAAGGACTATACTGACTATAAGGACTATAAATGACTATAAAGACTATAAAGACTGACTATAAATGACTATAATGAATATATATGACAATACTGACTATTAGCTATATGACTATACGCCTATCTTAGAAAATCGAGGAGAGACATATGGCTCTACCCCTCCTGGTAGAGCCCGCTCCTGGAGTAATAGACCACACCTCCTACTAGTTAAATCCCGCCAACCTGGGCCCCTGGCCACTCTCCTCCCTACTTGGCCCCGCCACCTGGGATACTTGGCACGCCCCCTTCTAGTTAAGACCCGCCCCTACCTACTTGGCCCCGCCCCCTACCGGTTAAGCGCTCCCGGGACCCGTAGCCACGCCTCCTACCAGTTAAGCCCCGCCCCCTGGGATACTTGGCCACGCCCTCTACCTACATTGCCCCGCCCACTACTAGATAAGCTCCGCCCACCGTGGACCCGTAGCCACGCCCCCTACCAGTTAAGCCCCGCCCCTGGGATACTTGGCCACTCCCTCTACCTACCTGGGCCCCGCCCACTACTAGTTAAGCCCCGCCCCTACCAAGTTAGCCTTGCGCCTTGAGGTAGTTGGCCCCGGTCCCTATTAGGTTATTCTCGTCCCTTGTGTATTTAGCCATTCTTTTTCTCTCCTTCTGAATCTCTTGTTGTACGAAAGAAGTTCTTCTAAATTTCCGGAAGAAAGACTTTAAATAGCCTTATAAAAATTTAAATCGTCGTTCATTTCATCTTAACGAATTCTTTACGAATAGATGTTCCAATACGCACTTGCTCAAAATGATATATAAAACAATCATGTCATAATGATTGAATTTATAAGAATGATTTTATTATAAATAATATTATGTTTTAAATAATATGTTAATTCTTTTTTGTTAATCGACAAGTGTAAAAAGTGAAAGAGAAGAAAAAAAATATTAGTTCGATTTGAAATCGGATAAATATTTCATTGAGAAGCCTTACGTATCGTATTAGAAAGTTTATCCGAAAAATTCGTGGCTTCATTTGAGCAACGACATTTCGATGAAACATTTATTATACGTTTAAGAGTAATTATTGAAACAGAAGCTTTCCTCTTTTTTTGTTTTCTTTTTTATTTATTTATTTATTGTCTTTTAATTTCCATAAAGTTATTCGTAGAAATAAGACTTTATTATTTAAACGTCGTTTTCCGTTTGTATATAATTTCAATTTATGAAAACAAAAAAGAAATTATTTTTCGATGAAAACGAACGTGAATCATTGTAAAAATTATTATACAAATAAATGAAAATCCATGAATTAAAAAGAAATAAAAAATATTTCTTTATAATATAAAATTTTCTATAAGACATCAATGAATGAAAATGAAAATTTTAAAGTCCTGATTTTATTACCACGTCGAGGTAGACCAAGAAAGTTCGAAAATATTGTATTGACACCACTGTATAAAAATATCAGACAAATTACAACAGCAAAATTCAAGGACATAATTGATCTATTACGATATATACCACCGGAACACCATGATTTCTTCAAATCCCTTTCACACACACAAAATCTAGATGAGTAGTAAATTGTTTTGTAATAAATTTATGTTTGTAATTTTGTACGTTATGCAGTTAAAAAATGTTTTGAATCGCATAAATTATGTTTTCGAAGTGTTTTAAAGATATGTAAAATAAATTGAGTATTGTTTTTTTCAATTTGAAACATCTTAAATTATATTGAATGGACTTGGGCACCTTCAAATTTTATAATGAATCTGATTGTTAATTTTGAAAGTGGCCTGATTCCATTCTTGATAAGAAAACGCATATTATTCACTTAATAACTGCCACTATTTTAATAGGAACTATAAATTTAACACCCTTAGATACACTTAATATAATATAGATATACTTAATATAATGTGTATATATATATATATATATATATATATATATGCATATCTAAATATACAGTGAAATTAAATAATAGAGAAAGTTGTTACGTTTACGATCAGCTTTATCAAATCGTTTCTTTTTTTAATTAAGAATAATTATTACGCAAATAATTATTGCGTAAATAAGAAACCAACATCTCTCATATTTACGAAGTACTTACTAAACCGAGGTTTATATGAAGACTGAGGACTTCCCGACACGAATGACGCATATACGTTCTCTTTAGAAAATAAACAAACCGAATAGAGGCCGAGCGAAAACATAAACAAAAAAGGAGCTAAGCTAACGATGTGAATAGTATCGTTATGTTCTTTCTTTTCTTTTTCTTTTTTTCCTTTTCTCTCTCTCTCTCTCTCTTAAGATAAATAAACATAATTAAATTTTAACTACATAATATATACTTTCTTATGTCGAAAATGCGTAGCACAATAATATATAAATTATTATTATTATTATTATTATTATTATTTCAAATAATATCGTTAAATTCCGTTAACAAAAAAGCAAACATAATTAAATAATAACGATGTACTCTATTTAATAAAGTAATAATATAATTTTTATTATATGAATCATTGTAATTAAGAAATATTTTCATAATGATAAATAATAAAAAACAAGTAGTTTTATATATATATATATATATATATATATATATATAAAATTCTATAGAGGAAAGCAACTGTATCTTTATTTCTTCCTTTTCCATTTTCTTTTCTTGATCCTTTCGAAAAATAACTTTAACTTAATGCCGAACGATCGTAAAACGTTTACGGATGGTTCGGATAATTGAACCAATCGAACGAATTTCTATGAAGTCCACGAACGTCTTAGAACTCTAAAGGCTTTCATAAAATCAAACTAATCGTGAAATCAGATGAATTCGAATTTTTCGCTTAGAGGATTCCCTTTAAGAAAAGATATTCAACGATCGATTATCGTCATACGAACGTTTAGAAAGGCTTTTAACATTTCACGAGATTTTAATACATATCTCGTTTTCTTATAAATAT